AGACTAAATGCGCAGCTCCTGTCTGGAGGCAAGATGAGAAGGCAAAAAGGGACAGCAGCTGGATGAAAGGACATGGGAAATCTGAGGTAGAATGGAGGACTGTACTGTCACATTACAGGGAATGCAACTAGGGTCACATAACAACGTGTGTATAAATTTTCGTATGAGAAACTAACTTGAACTATAAACTTTCACTTAAAGCACAATTAAAAGAAAAAAAAAGACAATCCAATCAAAACACGGGCAAAGGACTTGAATAGGTATTTTACCAAAGAGGATATTCAAATGGCCAACAAACACAAGAAAAGATGCTCAATGTCATCAGCCATCACAGACGTGCAAATCAAAACCACAATGAGATACCATTTCACTCCCACTAGGATGACTTAAAGATCCCTGGTGTCGCAGTGGTTAAGAGCCTGGCTGCTAACCAAAAGGTCAGCCGTTCAAATCCACCAGCTGTTCCAAGGAAACCGTATTAGGCAGTTCTACTCTGTCCTATAGGGTCGCTATGAGTCAGAATCAACTCGATGGCAATGGGTAACATGGCTTGAAAAAAATGCAAAGTAACAAACATTGGCAAGAATGTGGGGAAACTGGAAACACTGGTGGTGTACTGGTTAAGAGTTTGGCTGCTAACCAAAAAGTCGGTAGTCTGAATCCACCAGGCGCTCCTTGGAAACCCTACAGGGCAGTTCTACTATGTCCTATAGGGTCACTATGAATCAGAATCGACTCGACAGTAACAGGTTTGGTCTGGTTGGTTTAGTGGGGAAATTGGAACCCTTATCCATTTACCCACTGCTAGTGGGAATTCAAAATGGTACAGCTATTATGTAAAACAGTGTGGCAATTCTGCAAAAAAATGAAAAATAAAACTATCATATGACCCAGCAAGTCCACTACTAGGTATACACCCAAGGGACTTGAAAGCAGTGACACCAATGTTCACTGCAGCACTACTTACAACAGCCAAAAAGTAGAAACAACCTAAATGTCCACAGACGAATGAACGGATTAAAAAATGTGGTACATACATACAATGGACTACTACTCAGCCACAAAGAGAAATGAAGTCCTGACACGTGATGCAACATGGATGAATCTTGAAGACGCTATGCTGAGTGAAAAAAGTCAATCACAAAAGGACAAATGTTGTATAACCTCACTTATACAAAATGACAAGAATAAGTAAATGTACAGAGATCAAAGTTTATTATTGGTTACAAGGGGTGAGAAGGAGGGGAAAAAGGAAGTCCCTGTTTAAAGAACACTGATCAAGGATAATGGTTGCACAGCAGATCATTGTAACTGATATCACTAAGCTGTACACCTGTAAAAAGATGAACTGGCAAATTTTGTGCGATAAGTATTTCTACAACAAAAGAAGAGCAGCTGCTGGTGCTGTTTATATACAACCAAACACCTCGTGGGATTTGGTTCCTTGGTTTGGAGGTTTAGGGTCATGGTTTATTGGGACATCCCAGTTAAATGGTCAAATATTTCATGCCTAGTCCTATAAAATCAATAAAACACAGGTAGTTGTTTCTGTTCTACCTCTTACCTTCACTGCATAGTGCCTGAGGCCTTAAAAGGTTTGCAAGCTTACAACAATTGTAACAATTGTACTTGCAAGGTATAACAACTGGCTTCTATTCCTCTGGAGTAACAGAGAAGAAGAGGAGTCAGGTATCAGAGAAAGAAATGGAATGTGTGGCTAAGTGCCTCCATGAACAACTGTCCTCTGTGCCATGACACCAGAAGAACTGAATGTTCTGTGAAACATTCTATAAAAGAATCCTGATTTTGGCAGGGGAAGGGGGAATGTGGAACAGAATTTCAAATTCTCATGGAATCCAGACATTCCGGAGCCAGAGGCTGGGTAAACCCGAGACTACTGCCCTAAGATAATCTTTAAACTTTAAACCAAAAATACCCCTGAAGTCTTCTTTAAACCAAATAATAGTTTTGCTTAACTAGTAAAGAATGTCTGTCTTGAGCACTGTGCTCTTTTAAAGAATTATCTATATGGTATCAAAGTGCAACAGCAATTCCAACAGTTAGTCAGATGGGAAGCTTAGGGGGACAATGAGTTTATGTTAACCGTGAAGGAATTAATTCAGAAAAGGAGGGTGAGAATGGTTGCACAACTTGAAGAATGTAATCAATGTCATTGAATTGTACATGCAGAAATGGCTGAATTAGTGTATGGTTTGCTGTGCATATTTTAACAGCACCAGCAATAAAAATGAAATAAATTATTTTTTTAAAAAAGAAAACTGAACAGCTTTCTTTCTGGCAAGTGATTATAATATGAGAAAGTTAAAAAAAAAAACACAAAAAACTGATGTATCTTACACTGAACCAGTAAAACACTACAAGATGAAGATTCCCCACCTACTAAGACCTCGGTGTGTATTAATCAAGCACAGGGATTTGAAATTTGATTAATAAAGGAGCTCAGGACTAGCTTTTGAATCTAGTCATACACAGAAGTACCCAATTCTATTACACTTAACACAAAAGGTTTATTATTTATCTTTTTCTTTTTAGTTTGTTTTTATTTTTTAAACAGCAGGAATCACTCCATGATTTAAAAAAAAAAAAGAGTAGGAGAAAGTTATAATCATAGTTTGGTGTTTAAATTGCTGATTTAACTTTTAATGTAGAAATCAAGTAGCTACCCACTTTGGTACATAAAAAGATCAAGAAAACCTACACTCCACTTGACTTCATTCAGCCTCCAAACATAAAGTCCACATAGACATGGCAACATAAATAACTTCAAAGAAGGGAAAGAAGTTTCTAAGCTGTTGTGTGATGTTTTGTTTGTTTTTCCAGAAATATTAGAGTGGGATGAGGGGAAAAAAATACAGTATTTAGATCTTGCTAACTTACTGCTCCAGTAAAATTGTCATCTTTCAACAATAAGAAGCATAAAATCTACTAGGGTTACCAATTTTTTCCCTCATTTTTTTCTATTCCATTATGACAGTTTAACACTTGGGATAGAAAGAGAAACAAGAAATCTAAAAACAATTATAACATCAAAATCAGATGTTTCACCCAACTACTACTCTAGTCCAACCTCAAAGGACAAAATCAGATTAAGAGTTCTTATCCTATATAGTAATACCAAGTTTTCAAATTCTCATACACGTTACCATTCAGAAAGCTTATACAAATGATTGGAATACAGAAATAAATGGAATGCATTTTCTGCACTTCTCTAATCCTTTATAGTTTAGCAATTGATGTCCTTCAAAGATCAGGGCTTCTTTCTTGATTAAAACAGCATTATCCTTAAAGAGCACATTATTTGTAATAATTTTATGAGTAAGCATTCAAGAAATGACATGTGGGGGTTCATTTCAGTAAGATTATACTTATGGTACTGATAACAAGACTTCATGCCTAGTCCTGTAAAATCAACAAGGTACATACAGTTGTAGCGATGACTGATACAGTTAAACTATAAAATCTGGGCCAAAACTTCCTTTTTTCTACAAACCTGTAAAGGCTGAAAACATTCTCATTGGCTAACTCAACTTGGAGAACCCAAGACAAAGATCTAAAAACACGCTCACACACCTACTGAGAAAAGCCCAGAGATGACCTACCTAGCCTGTGATCCTATATACAGCTGCTAAGTTGAATGACAAAAAAACATCATGCCATCGCTCAACAGACTATCTAGGTGGTATATGCCAAGTGACCTCAAGCACTGGCTCACCAAAGGCAGATCTGTAATGGCCAGAAAAGCAACCTGGTAAGATAGCCCACAGCAAAAAATCCAACATATATGAGGGGGTAAAAAACGACTAAATTTGCCAAAGCAGCCTAACCACTGAGCTGGATTTTGCAGTGAAAATACCATATATGGACCCACTTCATTAACAGCCTATCTGGAAGTACATTTTACTAGTTACTCAGATACCATACATATTAAATCCAATAAGACAAATATTTACTTAACTAGTGTGGATAATAAAAAGATTGCTGACACACAATATACTGTGACAGAGGCAAGTATTTCTTAAATGAAATTTCAAATGTAACACCACTGGTTAAAATGTTAAGGATTCTTATATGGTTGTGTGTTAAAAAGGAACAAAGATCAATATTATAATCTAAATATCAATACAACCTTGGAAACAGTTACTCACCCACTCACTTAAACCACAATGATTTTTTAACCACTTTAGTATCAGTGTACATCTCAACAGTAATGGCAGGCTGCTAGAAGACATGTGGTCTAATAAATTATCTGTACTTACAATGTGACATTAATTTCTGGAAAATGTACTAAGTGTAGTAACTAAGACAAACCCACGTAAAATTGAAAAAAATTACAAATTAATAGTTTGGTCCATTTCACCTTGCCCCACCTAATTTGCTTAGGTCTTTATTTACTATCCAATAAAAGTTATGTGAACTAACACATAATTAAATGCACTCCTCAGAGGATATAGGTCAACGGTGACTAATCAGAACTTTCCATCTAAACTAGCTTTGACAAGACCTGGGAAAAATCATCAATTATTACTCACAAATAATGAGTGAGGGTTGTCACTTAATAGGAATGTAGATATTAATCCTGGTATCAAGTCTAATTAATGTCACCATCAGGAATAATTTACAACCACTCTAACAAGAGAAACACAAGGCAGTACCAATCCCTAAATGTTCGCAAAACATCAGAACCATACAATATATTGTATTCATTTATAATAGTCCCACTGTATTATTAGAAGTATAATTTTTCCAAAATAACATACCTAAGAGCAAATTAAAATCCAGTATGTAATATGCTCTATTTTCATTTGAATCTATCAAGTTTGTGGGAAGTAATTAAAAGAAAAAAAAATCATTCTGGGGGAAAAAAAAATCCTATGTAAAAATAATCCCAAATTACTTTCAGAAAAAACACCTAACTAGCAATTATAAATCATTAAAACTAATGAAAACAGGGAGTGGAAAAAAGAAATGGCAAAACCAACCCCTCCTCGCTGACCATCTACATGTATGGAACGGATGTGATCTGCCAGATCTGGACTAGAGTTGAAGCAAGCCTGGCACTGGTCCCAACAACAATTATAGGCAATATTTTTGCTTGAAGAAGTAGTGCTTCCTTGTCCATTCATCATTGCTGGAGTTGAACGCCCACTGGAAATTGTGCTGTCTACATCCATTATAGTACTGCTTATGCTACAAAAGAAGAAAAAAGTCTGTGTTATTCCTAGAAATTCACTAACATGAATATGATCTTATAAATATTTAATTAAGATTACCACTTGATTTAAACCTTAAACCAAAAATATCCCCTGAAGTATTCTCAAAACCAAACAATATTTTTGCTTATACTCTTTTAAGATCTTTCTATATGGGATCAAACTGACAACAGCAGCTCGTAAGATTAGATAGTGAGTTTATGTTAAGGGAGGGGGAACAACTCAGAAGAGGAGGGTGTACGTGTACAGTTAAACTGGTGTGTATTTTGCTATGTATATTTTCAACAACAAAAAATAAATAAAATAATTTAAAAAATATGTATTATCACTTGACATTCTGGCTCCATACAAAGAAAGCACACTAACCATTCTCCATTAGAAAAAGGCACTACTTTGAAATTAGTTGGCAAAAAGTGCAAATCAAGGCAAAAAACGAAGAGTACCTCAAAACAAGATACGGCATAATTTAAGCAACTTTTGGCAGACATGAACTGCCCAATACTATACAGAAAACAAACCAAACGTACAAACCCACATACAGCAGAACTATATAACCCTGCCACATCTCATCCCTTCCATAATTCTAAGAGCCATAATGAAGTAATAAATCAGTTTCCCAGCATACCTAATTCAGAATCAAGAGATTATCTTTACAGTTCTGCAAATCATTTGTTGACCTGAAACCTTTTATTCACCAACTGATAATACAACTGCTGCCACATCCTACCTCTTTCCATCTCAAAGTTGAGAAATTTTTCTCTTCTAAATAAAAATGCAAAATAGCGAAAACATGAGTGCCATAAACGTCTGATTTTACCTTAAGTCCAAATAAAAAGTCTTTTCCTGGCTCTCAAAATTTTTTTTTAATCTCTATCTACCAAAAAAGACAATGTCAATCAATTCCTTTTACTTATCTATAAACAAATTATTTCACTTTAGTAGTAAACCTTTTACTTTAAAAATTACATATTAATGATCAGAATGCTCAAAATCTCATGGCTTAATAAAATGCACCATACTTTTGCCTTCATTTTAAATGAGTCATTTTAATTTTCTATTTTCAATATCTTCCCAAAAGATAACTACGTGAAAGTAGGTTCAATCACAGAAGAGCCAACAGTAAGAATGTTTTCAGACTAAATCTATCAAAATGTCTGCTTGCAATTTAAGAAGTGCCAGTAGCCAAATTTGAAAATACATCAATTTTTAAGGGGTATACTCCCAACCCAAAATTTTTAATCATAGAGACTTTCAAACACACAGAAAAGTGTATCTAAATCAGGATTTAACATGAATTTTAACTTATTAAGTAAACTTGATAATGGTTTGTGTTGAACATTAAATGAACTCACCCTTAAGTTAGCAAAAATGTTTATATGGGATATTTCAGATATTAAAAAAGTCTCACTTTCTGGAGTCATGGAAGCTGGCCGCCTGTTGCTGTCGAGTCTATTTCAACTCATAGCGGCACTACAGGACAGCGTAAAATTGTCTCACAGGGTTTCCAAGGCTGCAATCTTTACAAAAGCAGACTGCTACATCTTTCTCCGGAGAGGCTGGTGGGTTCAAACTACCAGCTTTTGGTTAGCAGCCGAGCTCTTAACCACTGCACCACCAAGGCTCCTTGGAGGCTGGATGAACCACTAAAACTAATGTCCTGAGATAATCTTTAAACTTTAAACCAAAAATATCCCGAGGTTTTCTTAAAACCAAGTAATAGTTTAGCTTAATTAGTAAAGAATGTCTGCTTTGAGCACTGTACTCTTTTAAGGCCTATCTATATGGTATCAAAGCGACAACAGCAACTCAAAAGATTAGATAGGGAACTTAAGGCGGGTAGTGAGTTTATGTTAATGGGGGAGGAACAACTCAGAAAAGGAGGATGAGAATGGCAGCACACCTCAAAGAATGCAATCAAGGTCACTGAGTTGTACATGTAAAAATTATTTAATTGGTGTATGTTCTGCTGTGTATATTTCTCAACAACAAAAATAAATTATTTAAAAAGTCTCAGATTCCCCTTTAAAGGACATTCAGTTATTTAACCTCATTTGGCTAACTACAAGTCAATACAGATTCTAAATTTCAACTCTAAAACTTTATTCTAAAACTTTATAATCCCTATAAAATGCTTAAGTGTGAACGAGCCCTTGCATATCTGCATATTTATTCGTATATTATTTGCTGGCGCAGGACTATACCATGAACATAGGAATTCACTGTGACTGTAGTTTTTCTCTACTGAAATACAAATTTTAATTTAAGCCCTAGAAATCTCAAGTTTCATGCAGCCCATACCCTGAAATGGTTATCTATTTTCCTTGTCATTTGCTGTATATATTTTTAATGTTTCAACTGTGAAGCACATATCTACGTAAGCCATGCTAATTAACTCCAAATGCAAATATTAACTTTAATTGAACAACCAGTCGGACCAAGTTTATAAATAATCTCTGGAAGAGAAAAATCTCAATGAACTATTGTTTTACAATTGGTACAATGTCCAAGTGTATAGTTAAGTCAAAACAAAAAATAAAAACAAAGGTACAGGGAAGGAGGAAGGGAGACAGATACAGACACAGATATCCTCTAAAGAGGAGTCCCAGAATGGTGCAAACAGGTAATAGGCTTGCTGCTAACCGAAAGGCTGGTGGTCTGAGTCCACCCAGAGGCACCTTGGAAGAAAGGTCTGGCAATCTACTTTCAAAAACTCAGCCTTTGAAAATTCTATAAAACACAGTTCTACTCTGACACACAGAGTCGTCCTGAGTCGGAGCTGACGCCATGGCAACTGGTATCCTCTAAAGGTTATAACCTCTTTGGAACGATACAAAAAATATAGTAGTTGGGGTGGGGGGGTGGGGAACAGATGGGGCAGGACAAGAGTAGCAGGAGAGTTATCTTTCACTGTACCATTTTAAATCACGTACCTGTGCTGTTTTTATTAAAAAGTCCAAAATTAGTTGAAAACGAAACCCAATCAATTTTCCTTAAATCAGGCAGTGTCAAGAGAGACTCTCATACTTGTGATACATTCAACTATGAACAGATAGTGTCGGTTTACATAGTGCTTAATGGACTTCTCTCACTAACTGTACCACAGTGGAGGAACCTTACAAGAAAGTACAAATATCCATGAACATCAAGCATTGTTTAATCAGTCTATATACAATATTATTCACTTGAAAAACAGCAGTTCATGTGAATACAGCTCCATGTGGATACAGCGCCTCATAAAAGGACAGCATTAATACAGATGTTATGAACTCTATCTACCATTGACAAGTAAGATGCAAATGCAATAGTAAGAGAAGTAAGGGGCAAAGCCAACAGAGCCTCCTCTACCCAAACCCTAGCAAAGCCAACTGGAGTCCAGCTTCACAGCCCCTCTCAGGATCTTCTAACCTCTACAAAGTATTCAATCCTGGGCTGCCAGGATTCTCAGTGATTCTTTGATTGGGTACAGTCCTGATGCAGGGGGACAAATGAGACAAGTTGCAGGTAATTTCTGACTTTGTCAAGATCCTGAGGAGATGTGAATTTCACAGAAAGCTGTGTGCTTCCTATATTATTCTAGATAACAAGATGAGCACTAGGAGACAATCTATCAGATCTTGTAATATTCCTGAAGATGATATGTACATTAAAAATTTTCATCCTGGACAGAGCAAGAGAAAAATGTAGAACAAAATTCAAATTTACAAAGAAAGACCAGACTTACTGGCTGAGAGAGACTAGACGAACCCCTGAGACTATGGCCACCTGACACCCTGCTAACTCAGAACTGAAGCCACTCCTGAAATTCACCTTTCAGCCCAAGATTAGACAGGCCTATAAGACAAACAATCCTAACACACAAGGAACGTACTTCTTAGTTCAACTGAGTATACAAGAACAAATGGGCAACATCTGCCCAAAAGCAAAGATGAGAAGGCAGGAAAGACAGGAAAACTGGACGAATGGACACAGAGAACTCAAGGTGGAAAAGGAAAGAGGGAGAGTGCTGATACATTGTGGGGACTGCAACTACTGTCACAAACAATTCGTGTATAAATTTTTTAATGAGAAACTAATTTGAGCTGTAAACTTTAGCGTAAAACACAATAACATTTTTAAAAAATATTTTTTCATTCGGTTAATTCTCCTTGTCATCAAACACTTACTGATTCTGTGAAATGTGAACACCTAAGCAACCTCCCTAGAATGTCAACAGTCTTAGTATTTGGAAGAAACCCTAACTCAGAAAAAGCATTCACACTACTCAGCTTCAATAATCTAAAGAAGCGCTTCTCAAATTTTAATATATATACGAATGACCTGGGATCCCATCGGCCCTGATAGCCCAGTGATTAAGAGCTTGGCTGCTAACCAAAAGGTCAGCAGTTCGAATCGACCAGCCACTCCTTGGAAACCTTATGGGGCAATCCTAATCTGTCCTATAGGGTCACTATGAGTCAGAACTGACTTGAAGGCAATGGTGGGATCTTACTAACTGCAGATTCTGGTTTAGTGGGTTTGGGATGGGCCCTGAGATACTGCATTAACAAGCTCCCACTTGTTGACAATGCTGCTGTAACACTTTGACTAGAAAGAATCTAAAAGGTCTCGTTCACAGTTATTACCCAAGTGAGACTCATCAAACCAAGAAATCTTACATGACAGAATGGCAAACTAAAGCATGTGCACATACATACAGAAGCTGTGACAACAGAGTATCTGCACATTTCAAAAATGCACAAACTGTTAGAGATTCTAACGGAATAGGGAGGAAAAAGAGACAGTTTCAACATAACATTCCTCTTTTCCATTAGCCTTGTTAAGAAACTATCTGGCAGCCCAGTTTTCCACTCCAACATCCAGAGTGTCCCACTACATGGATTTTATGAAATGGTTTCCTTTGGGAAGTCAAGGACTAACTCATACATACAAGAACAGCTCCATGTTTGAGAACACAAATTACTTCCAGGCAAAACATCT